AATACTGGTGACAGCTTCCAGGTTCACAACACGCAAGCCCCTACAGTACGACAAACTGACAGATACGTGGGGGTTAGAATTATTAGTTGTCTTAAATACAGTAGCTATACATAATTTCTAGAAAGGAAGCAAAAACAAAAACCTACAAGTTGATGGAGGGAACTTTAAGTCAGAATAAAAAAGTGTGAAAATAATCTTCACCCAAAAATGTCTTTTTGTAGTTGTTTTATTTGACCAAAAAGGTCCTCATATTGTATTTTGTTAATGTGTTTCTTAAATCTTTTAAAATCTAAAAAGTTGCCCATACCTCCCCCCACCCCATGACATTTATTTGTTGAAGAGACCAGGTCATTTCTCCTATAGACTTTCCTACATTATTGGATTTTGGCTGATTGCATCCTGGTGGTGGTGTTTGATGTTTCTCTATTTCCTGTATTTTCTCCTTGTTGAATTTAGAGAGTCTTGATTAGATTCAGGTTTGATTTTTTTTTTTTTCTTGTTGCGAGAATAGTTAATGCTGTGTAGTTTCTATTGCGTTATATCAGGAGGCACATAATGTCTATTTGTCCTACTTTTAGTAATGTTAAGACTGACCTGTGAGTTCAGGTATTGTCAGCCTGATCCAATGATTATGAAATTCCCCATCACCTTTTCTCCTAATGGTCTTACCAGTCATTAGTGGTAGTTGCCTAGATCAGTTATTTCATTGGGAGTTAAAGTGGTCATTTTCTATGTGTTTCATTCTGCATTTATTAGTTGAAATTCTTCTATAAAGAACTTTTCCTTCATTAACTCCTTGGTTACCTGAAATACAGTTTATGTAGAAAAGGCAGGATAAATGCTGATCTTTTACCTTTTTTTTTTAAAACCAATTTTCAGATAAGGGCAGAGTTTTTTACCTGTTGGGTTGTATGACTTGCTTGTCTATCACAGAAGTCCCTACTGGGTATGCTGTATGCCACACTTTTCTTTGAATCGCTTACTCCGCTTCTACCTAGAGTCTCATGAGGTTCAGTCATTTTCAGATACACATATTCTTTCTTTTTCTGTAGTGTATGTCCTCAAATCAGAAAATTTCTCTAAGGTTTCTGGAACACTATATTTGGGTGAAGATACCTACACAATGTTTATCTTTTTTCTTAGTATTTGGTTAGATACATTATTTTGTTTTCACTATTTTACATTTTATTGAGATGTAATTTATATAGAATAAAATGCACCAAAACCAAACCCAATGCTGTCGAGTCAATTCCGACTCATAGTGACCCTATAGGACAGAGTAGAACTGCCCCATAG